TGGGCCCCTCTTGGTGTTCTTCAGAACTACCTGGGCCCCTCTTGGTGTTCTTCAGAACTACCTGGGCCCCTCTTGGTGTTCTTCAGAACTACCTGGGCCCCTCTTGGTGTTCTTCAGAACTACCTGGGCCCCTCTTGGTGTTCTTCAGAACTACCTGGGCCCCTCTTGGTGTTCTTCAGAACTACCTGGGCCCCTCTTGGTGTTCTTCAGAACTACCTGGGCCCCTCTTGGTGTTCTTCAGAACTACCCGGGGCCCCTCTTGGTGTTCTTCAGAACTACCCGGGGCCCTCTTGGTGTTCTTCAGAACTACCTGGGCCCTCTTGGTGTTCTTCAGAACTACCCGGGGCCCTCTTGGTGTTCTTCAGAACTACCTGGGCCCTCTTGGTGTTCTTCAGAACTACCGGGGCCCTCTTGGTGTTCTTCAGAACTACCGGGGCCCTCTTGGTGTTCTTCAGAACTACCTGGGGCCCTCTTGGTGTTCTTCAGAACTACCGGGGCCCTCTTGGTGTTCTTCAGAAATACCCGGGGCCCTCTTGGTGTTCTTCAGAAATACCCGGGGCCCTCTTGGTGTTCTTCAGAACTACCCGGGGCCCTCTTGGTGTTCTTCAGAACTACCGGGGCCCTCTTGGTGTTCTTCAGAAATATCCGGGGCCCTCTTGGTGTTCTTCAGAACTACCCGGGGCCCTCTTGGTGTTCTTCAGAACTACCGGGGCCCTCTTGGTGTTCTTCAGAAATACCCGGGGCCCTCTTGGTGTTCTTCAGAACTACCCGGGGCCCTCTTGGTGTTCTTCAGAACTACCCGGGGCCCTCTTGGTGTTCTTCAGAACTACCCGGGGCCCCTTTTGGCCTCCTCTAAACTACCTGTAGCTTTAAGGCTGAGGAACAATGTTAACTATAATGATTGTGTATTAAGGACAAGGATAGTTATAATGGTGTGTGAAGAACAGTGGTAACTATAATGATGGTGCTTTAAGAACAGCTGTAGCTATAATGATGGTGTATGAAGAACAATGGTAGCCTTAAACAGTGTGATGAACATACCTCCTGTCATCTCAGAACAGTACTACAATCATTCCCTGTCACTTAACAAGGGCGAACCACTTGACAATTAAATAAACCTTCGTTACGAGGTGTTTTGTCATCAAATATTGACCCTGTTGAGCAGAGGACGGATGACGCCTGGTGGAGGACCTTACAGCGGCACTCTGGGTGTGTGTGTGTGTGTGTGTGTGTGTAATTACCTAAGTGTAGTTACAGGATGAGAGCTACGCTCGTGGTGTCCCGTCTTCCCAGCACTCTGTCATATAACGCTTTGAAACTACTGACGGTCTTGGCTTCCACCACCTTCTCACTTAACTTGTTCCAACCGTCTACCACTCTATTTGCGAAGGTGAATTTTCTTATATTTCTTCGGCATCTGTGTTTAGCTAGTTTAAATCTATGACCTCTTGTTCTTGAAGTTCCTGGTCTCAGGAAGTCTTCCCTGTCGATTTTATCAATTCCTGTTACTATTTTGTACGTAGTGATCATATCACCTCTTTTTCTTCTGTCTTCTAGTTTTGGCATATTTAATGCTTCTAACCTCTCCTCGTAGCTCTTGCCCTTCAGTTCTGGGAGCCACTTAGTAGCATGTCTTTGCACCTTTTCCAGTTTGTTGATGTGCTTCTTAAGATATGGGCACCACACAACAGCTGCATATTCTAGCTTTGGCCTAACAAAAGTCATGAACAATTTCTTTAGTATATCGCCATCCATGTATTTAAATGCAATTCTGAAGTTAGAAAGCATCACATAGGCTCCTTGCACAATATTCTTTATGTGGTCCTCAGGTGATAGTTTTCTATCTAGAACCACCCCTAGATCTCTTTCTTTATCAGAATTCTTTAAAGATTTCTCACATAATATATAGGTTGTATGGGGTCTATGTTCTCCTATTCCACATTCCATAACATGACATTTATTAACATTAAATTCCATTTGCCAGGTGGTGCTCCATATACTTATTTTGTCCAGGTCTTCTTGAAGTGCATGACAATCATCTAAATTTCTTATCCTTCCTATTATCTTAGCATCATCAGCAAACATGTTCATATAATTCTGTATACCAACTGGTAGATCATTTATGTACACAATAAACATCACTGGTGCAAGAACTGAACCCTGTGGTACTCCACTTGTGACATTTCTCCATTCCGATACATTGCCTCTGATTACTGCCCTCATTTTTCTATCAGAAAATTTTTCATCCATGATAGAAGCTTACCTGTCACCCCTCCAATAATTTCCAGTTTCCAGAACAACCTCTTATGTGGAACTCTGTCGAAAGCCTTTTTTAGGTCCAGATAGATGCAGTCAACCCAACCATCTCTTTCCTGTAATATCTCTGTGGCTCAATCATAGAAACTGAGTAAATTCGATACACAGGATCTTCCAGATCGAAAACCATACTGTGTCTGATATTATATCATTTCTCTCCAGGTGTTCTACCCATTTAGTTTTGATTAGCTTTTCCAATACTTTCACTATTACACTTGTCAATGATACAGGTCTATAATTGATGGGGTCTTCCCTGCTGCCACTTTTGTAGATTGGAACTATGTTAGCCTGTTTCCACACGTCTGCTACGATTCCTGTACTCAGGGATGCCTGAAAGATCAGGTGAAGTGGAATGCTGAGTTCAGATGCACATTCTCTCAGAACCCATGGTGAAACGCCATCTGGGCCAGCTGCTTTGTTCCTCCCGAGCTCGTTTAGCATATTTTCCACTTCATCTCTAGACACCTCTATCCGCTCTATGTTGTTCTCTGGAATTCTTATTGTGTCTGGTTCTCTGAAGATTTCATTTTGTACAAACACACTTTGGAACTTTTCATTTAATGTTTCACACATTTCCTTTTCATTTTCCGTGAATCTGTTTCCCATTTTCAACCTCTGGATATTATCCTTTACCTGCAATTTGTTGTTTATGAATTTGAAGAATAGGCCCGGTTCTGTTTTACATTTATCTGCTATCCCTTTTTCAAAATTTCTTTCTGCCTCTCTCCTTACTGCTGTATAATTGTTTCTCGCATCTTTGTATCGCTGGTATGTTTGGGGGTTTGGCCTCTTCCTATACTGATTCCATTTTTGTGTCTTTTGGTCTCTGGCCCTCTCACAATTTCTGTCGAACCAATCCTGTTTTCTGGCCCTGCATCTCTGTTTCGGTATGAATGTTTGTGTGCCTTCCTCGTATAGTTTTAAAAATTTGGCATACATTTCATTTACTTCCCTACCTAGCAACAATTCTGTGTACTCACCTAGTTGTACTCACCTAGTTGTGTTTGCGGGGGTTGAGCTCTGGCTCTTTGGTCCCGCCTCTCAACCGTCAATCAACAGGTGTACAGATTCATGAGCCTATCGGGCTCTGTCATATCTACACTTGAAACTGTGTATGGAGTCAGCCTCCACCACATCACTTCCTAATGCATTCCATTTGTCAACCACTCTGACACTAAAAAAGTTCTTTCTAATATCTCTGTGGCTCATTTGGGCACTCAGTTTCCACCTGTGTCCCCTTGTGCGTGTTCCCCTTGTGTTAAATAGACTGTCTTTATCTACCCTATCAATCCCCTTCAGAATCTTGAATGTGGTGATCATGTCCCCCCTAACTCTTCTGTCTTCCAGCGAAGTGAGGTTTAATTCCCGTAGTCTCTCCTCGTAGCTCATACCTCTCAGCTCGGGTACTAGTCTGGTGGCAAACCTTTGAACCTTTTCCAGTTTAGTCTTATCCTTGACTAGATATGGACTCCATGCTGGGGCTGCATACTCCAGGATTGGCCTGACATATGTGGTATACAAAGTTCTGAATGATTCTTTACACAAGTTTCTGAATGCCGTTCGTATGTTGGCCAGCCTGGCATATGCCGCTGATGTTATCCGCTTGATATGTGCTGCAGGAGACAGGTCTGGCGTGATATCAACCCCCAAGTCTTTTTCCTTCTCTGACTCCTGAAGAATTTCCTCTCCCAGATGATACCTTGTATCTGGCCTCCTGTGTGTGTGTGTGTGTGTGTGTGTGTACTCACCTAATTGTGCTTGCGGTGGTTGAGCTCTGGCTCTTTGGTCCCGCCTCTCAACCGTCAATCAACTGGTGTACAGGTTCCCGAGCCTACTGGGCTCTATCATATCTACATTTAAAACTGTGTATGGAGTCAGCCTCCACCACATTACTGCCTAATGCATTCCATCTGTTAACTACTGACACTGAAAAAGTTCTTTCTAACGTCCCTGTGGCTCATTTGGGTATTCAGTTCCACCCGTGTCCCCTTGTTCGCATACCGCCAGTGTTGAATAGTTTATCCTTGTCTACCATGTCAATTCCCCTGAGGATTTTGTAGGTAGTGATCATGTTTCCTGCTTGCAAGGTTGAGCATGTGCTTTTAAGCTCCGCCTTTCGACAATCAGTAATTCAATGCAGTGGCTTTCTCTCACTCGTTTTTTCTTATGTTTACATTTAAGGTTGTACTGTAAAGGGACATTATAATAGTTTCTACTTGTCCACTTAAACCGTAATCCACGAGTATTGATACGCTCGGTGGTCTGGTACTCTGGGTAACACACACACACACACACACACACACACATACACACACACACACACCTTGTATGTGCTCGTCTCGTATGTTTTTCTCCTCGTATTGACATCTCGGTTATACTTGACACGGCTTGTGGCATGGTGGTGCTCGCTAGTCTTCACGGCTTGGCGCTGCTTCTGGTAATTACCTACTTCCCTGCACACTTTATATAAATTTCACTTATCAAAGTCCAACGTACTCGCCCAAATTAAATAAAGCAGCAGCAAAATGAGGGGGGAAGGGGATGGGTATGAGGGACACCAGGATACACCCGAGTACTCCGTGTGTTGCTATACAAGGGTCACGTGGAGCAGGTTGCGGCGTCTGGACCCGCCAGCTGTGAACACGACACGTCTGGTAATAAGTTTGGATGGAGAGAAACAGGTGTGCAAGACTTCGAGTTTATTCATCCCCACTATGTACAAGGACGACTCCCACTTGAAGACTCATCATGGTAAATATATATTATATAATGTCTATTTATATTGAATATTAATTTACAAGAACGTTACATGAACAATTAGCTATATGCACACGCGCGCGCATATATTTCCGACAGTGTTATAAGGGGTACACAGGGAATCATGAGGGTGTGAAGTGGTCATCTCGGGGAGTCAGCAGCAGAACGCCTGGCTGACAAGCACCGGTAACTGTTGCTGACTAACATGAGGTAAGAGATGAGACGTCAACACAGGTGACCTTATCACTCTCAAATGCAGATGCCGTTCCTCCCACCTACAGGCCAAGTGTATGCGGCTCCAACCACCTGAAGAAGAGACGTAAGAGGCTCCACCCACTTGCAGGCCAACAGTTGAGGTCCCACGACCGGCATGGAAGCCCACCTGCCAGCCTGGTGTATTAGGTGAGAAGTGTTGTCGTGGAGTTGCCAGCTGGACGTTGTGGAGAGGGGGGGAGGGGGGGGGGGGTGCAGAAGAACGGTTGTTTGGTTACTTAGGTTTAAGAGCCATGATGCCAGTTGTGCCGGATGCCCCGGCATTCCCTTGTATGGTAAAACGCCAAGCCTGCGGCCACACCCACGTCGCCTGTAGAGGGAATTTAATGTGTTTTGCGGCAGGTAAGCACATTAAGGCAAATGTTTAGGGAGTCCAGGAGTGCATTGGGCAGACGAGCGCCGACACTCGCTCAACACAGTCAAACACAGTTGCGGGAGAAACGCGATGGTCTCTCCTGAACACAGGTCTAATCGAGGAAAAAAATCTTGCAGACCTCCAATGGAGGAAAAGACAGACTGCCACAGAGCCCCGAGGCACACCAGGCAACTCTTCTTGCCCCAAGAACCACCCGGAAAAATCTATCAACTTGCTTGCGACCCCAGGCGACAGGTGCACCAGGCGTATCAACCTGGCCTCTTGAAGAGCAGTGCCTGACGGCAGTATCGAGACTAATGGGTAAAATGGCGTCACGCGTTCCGGCGGCCCCAGGCGGAGCAGGTGTCCAGACGGCGGCTTGTCACGGTGGAGCCCGAGTCTAGGAAAGTGTAGCGAGAGCGGCGGTGGTCACAACACCAGGTGACGCGGCCTGCGGCGCACTCTGTGGTTACATGCTGGCAACACTTCCTCAAGTCTCTTTACATATTCTTGGTTCTCAACATCCTGTTTTCTCTCACTCAGAGAGGCAGACAAGGACGCCAGGGTGCCACCCTTCACCCACCCAATTCAGGAACAGTGAAAATCTGCGACGTTTGTGGTTAGAAATGTATTGACTGCTCCTGGGGCAGGATTGACTACACTTAGCTCTACAGGAAGGTTGACTTAGAATTTGGTAATACATCGTTCATATATATATTGATTACCGAGTAATATTTTGAAGGTGATAGATTCTGAAGACTATATGTACATAATAATACATAACCCCTGAACAACAGTAAACTTATATATATAATAATGGTAATATATATGGTGAGAGGTATAGTGGGGAGGCTGTGTACAGTGGTGATGGTGACGACGGGACAGCGCAGTAGTGGTGACAGTACACTACTGCGCTCGTGTAGTGGACGACGCATGGAACGTAATGATATGCACTTCAGGGCGCTCTCATCACTCGACCAATGTGTCCCGGTTACAAAAAGACACTTTAGAGTCCCGCCGCGCTCACCACAACAATGTTTTTGAGCATTAGTTTCCAAGTTCTGGCTTCCCATGAAGTACACTGCACTGAACTGTTTGTTGTGGCACTCCATGTGAGCCAATGTCCCCAGGTGAGCATATGGACGCCCAGGACTCGTATATGTTCATTATGGTATTTTGTGACCCACTACACGGAGGTAAGACTCGGAGGCAGAAGCTGCAGAAACGTCCTGCAGGATGAGTGTTGAGCAGTGTGGGGGGGGGGGGGAGCCTTGTGTGTCCAGGGCGTGGGCGTGTGGAGGGCGGGGGTCACGCGTCCATGACCTGCACGGTGGCATATGCACTGAAAGTGACCCGTCGGCACTGTGGTGAGCATTCTGGCCGACGACCTTTCTTAATGACGGGTCTGAGTGTTCCGTCGTTATCAGCACCCGCGGCTGACAACAACCTCTGGTGACCTTTGACCTCTCCTACACAGCTGCCGGCACCGCTGCGCTTGGCTGTGAAGACGGCGTCAGAGAGGTCACGCAGTTTCTGGGAGAGACTGAAGGTGGTGACAGCGTCGATATAACGATGCGCCATGGGCCTGCGCGCGGGACTCTTGGAGCGTGAGCGTCGCCTCATCTCTGGGGTTAGTGTGGACTCTCTGGTCCTGTGAGCATGGTACTCGTGGGAGCCCACCCACGCTCCCCCACTTCCATAGTACGTGTACTGGTGGGAGTTGTTAGTGTCGTGGGCCGCCACCCACCCGCCCCCGTACCCAGGTACCTCTACCTGAACTACTTTACTACCCCGGACAATATGAGATTCTTTGGGGTAAAATGCCCGCGCGTTCTCAGCGCCACTCTTGGTGGGGACGAGGATGAGGGCAGGGTTGTCTGGGTGTCGTCTGGGCGGGGGAAGGGGTGCAGGGCCCTTGTGGGCGTGGCGCGGCCGCCCGCGGGACTGGTCACGGGGCCTCGACTTCCTCTCTGTCACCGGGCGAGGCATGGCAGGCTCGACGGGCACAGTGCCGCCCTCGCCCTGGTGCCACGCCCACTGGCTCCGCCCCGCGCCCTCCTGACCCCTCGTGTCATGCTGCCGCTTCTCTCTCCACAGGTCGTCTCTCCTGGTGTCGTTCCTCCTGTGGGAGTCATCATACCACTTGTGAGTGTTGTCTTGCCACCTTGGAGTGTCTTCTTGCCAACTGGGAGTGCCGTCGTGCCACTTGGGGGTGTCGTCATACCACTTGTGGGTGGTCTCGTGCCACCTGGGGGTGTCGTCGTGTCGCCTGAGGGAGCCCTGGTGCGTCCTCTCCGCTGACCTGTGGGAGGCGTCGTGACGCAGCAGCAGTGCTGGCTGCCTCTGCCGGAACTTCTTCTCCGCCTCTCCTGCCACCAGCACCTCGCGCCCACTGGTCCCCAGGCTGCTGCTGCCACTGTGGGAGGGCAGGTGGTATGAGGCATCAGGTAGGCTGGTCAACTCTGAGGCATCAGAGCTGGTGCTGACTAGGCTGCTGGAGGTCGTGCTCACCAAGCTGTCAGGAGCATTGCTCACCAAGCTGCCCGGGCCGCTGTCGATCTCAATGTGGGTGACACCGTTGTCATCTGTACGCTGGACGAGGCCCCATGGCTCTTGCCCTTCACCAACCTGAATGATCTTAACATTGTCGGTGGTGCCAGCCGTGGGGCCCAGACTGCTGCTGCTGTACACTCTGCTGCTGCTGGGTGTTCTGCTGCTGACCACGGTGCCGCTGCTGGGTGCTGAATCTGTCCGAGGCGAGTCACTCTTCCTCTTGCTATTCCTGTACCTGTTTAGCTTGTACTTATTGCTGGCCTCCTTGTAGTGGGCATAGAGGGTACGGGCAGTGTCGTCAGTGGGGCACTGGAAGACATGAGCGTGGACCTGGGTGTCGCCGGCGTCCTTCACCACCACCACCACCACCCTGGGTCTGGCTGACGACACATGACAGTACAATATGTCACTCATCAGTAGCTGCTCACCCACACACCCGCTTCCACCCTCCTCCACCTGTAAACACAGCAAGTATTAACACGACTCTCTAATTCACATTGTGTTCCCCGTCCCGCCACCTCACCCATATCTGTCATGTTATATTCCAACATCTGTTTCAGTAACATGTCTGAATTATACAAATTTCAAGCAGGAAGAGTGAACGAAAAGTTATTAGGAAATGTAAACAGAATGATTACAATTAACAAAGACTTCTTTTGGGGAGAAGTAAAAAAGTGCAGCAGCAGGAGTCATCCGGCATTTATGCAACCATTTACGAAACCTGTACATGTTTCCTCAATCATTGTGACTTTGTTTACGTATATTAAAAAGTTTGAGCTCCGAAGTACTACGAGATTTAGAACAACACAACTTTAGGAGCTTGGAAACTTCACAACCCAAACTGTTTAAAACATGTAAACATAGCTGCCATAATTAAAGATCCGCAGGTTTTGTAAGTTGTTGTGTGTATGCTGGCTGAATGCTTCCAGCATACACGCAACCACTTAATACTCCCATATAGCCATCGTCTTGGATAATAGGGAGTGTTAGTCAAGGTAGTCTTATGTGGTGAAGATATATGGAGCAGGTGGGGGAGAATACCACCCCCCCCTCACACTCTGATGGCTGAGTGAAGATACAGCATATGTGAACACCGATCATGTGGGACGAGTCAGTACACCAGAAGGTGTACCACGGGATGAGTCAGTACACCAGAAGGTGTACCACGGGATGAGTCAGTACACCAGAAGGTGTACCACGGGATGAGTCAGTACACCAGAAGGTGTACCACGGGATGAGTCAGTACACCAGAAGGTGTACCACGGGATGAGTCAGTACACCAGAAGGTGTACCACGGGATGAGTCAGTACACCAGAAGGTGTACCACGGGATGAGTCAGTACACCAGAAGGTGTACCACGGGATGAGTCAGTACACCAGAAGGTGTACCACGGGATGAGTCAGTACACCAGAAGGTGTACCACGGGATGAGTCAGTACACCAGAAGGTGTACCACGGGATGAGTCAGTACACCAGAAGGTGTACCACGGGATGAGTCAGTACACCAGAAGGTGTACCACGGGATGAGTCAGTACACCAGAAGGTGTACCACGGGATGAGTCAGTACACCAGAAGGTGTACCACGGGATGAGTCAGTACACCAGAAGGTGTACCACGGGATGAGTCAGTACACCAGAAGGTGTACCACGGGATGAGTCAGTACACCAGAAGGTGTACCACGGGATGAGTCAGTACACCAGAAGGTGTACCACGGGATGAGTCAGTACACCAGAAGGTGTACCACGGGATGAGTCAGTACACCAGAAGGTGTACCACGGGATGAGTCAGTACACCAGAAGGTGTACCACGGGATGAGTCAGTACACCAGAAGGTGTACCACGGGATGAGTCAGTACACCAGAAGGTGTACCACGGGATGAGTCAGTACACCAGAAGGTGTACCACGGGATGAGTCAGTACACCAGAAGGTGTACCACGGGATGAGTCAGTACACCAGAAGGTGTACCACGGGATGAGTCAGTACACCAGAAGGTGTACCACGGGATGAGTCAGTACACCAGAAGGTGTACCACGGGATGAGTCAGTACACCAGAAGGTGTACCACGGGATGAGTCAGTACACCAGAAGGTGTACCACGGGATGAGTCAGTACACCAGAAGGTGTACCACGGGATGAGTCAGTACACCAGAAGGTGTACCACGGGATGAGTCAGTACACCAGAAGGTGTACCACGGGATGAGTCAGTACACCAGAAGGTGTACCACGGGATGAGTCAGTACACCAGAAGGTGTACCACGGGATGAGTCAGTACACCAGAAGGTGTACCACGGGATGAGTCAGTACACCAGAAGGTGTACCACGGGATGAGTCAGTACACCAGAAGGTGTACCACGGGATGAGTCAGTACACCAGAAGGTGTACCACGGGATGAGTCAGTACACCAGAAGGTGTACCACGGGATGAGTCAGTACACCAGAAGGTGTACCACGGGATGAGTCAGTACACCAGAAGGTACATCACGGGATGAGTCAGTACACCAGAAGGTACAGCACGGGATGAGTCAGTACACCACAAGGTACAGCACGGGATGAGTCAGTACACCAGAAGGTACAGCACGGGATGAGTCAGTACACCAGAAGGTACATCACGGGATGAGTCAGTACACCAGAAGGTACATCACGGGATGAGTCAGTACACCAGAAGGTACATCACGGGATGAGTCAGTACACCACAAGGTACAGCACGGGATGAGTCAGTACACCAGAAGGTACATCACGGGATGAGTCAGTACACCAGAAGGTGTACCACGGGATGAGTCAGTACACCAGAAGGTGTACCACGGGATGAGTCAGTACACCAGAAGGTACATCACGGGATGAGTCAGTACACCAGAAGGTGTACCACGGGATGAGTCAGTACACCAGAAGGTACATCACGGGATGAGTCAGTACACCAGAAGGTACATCACGGGATGAGTCAGTACACCAGAAGGTGTACCACGGGATGAGTCAGTACACCAGAAGGTGTACCACGGGATGAGTCAGTACACCAGAAGGTGTACCACGGGATGAGTCAGTACACCAGAAGGTGTACCACGGGATGAGTCAGTACACCAGAAGGTGTACCACGGGATGAGTCAGTACACCAGAAGGTGTACCACGGGATGAGTCAGTACACCAGAAGGTGTACCACGGGATGAGTCAGTACACCAGAAGGTGTACCACGGGATGAGTCAGTACACCAGAAGGTGTACCACGGGATGAGTCAGTACACCAGAAGGTGTACCACGGGATGAGTCAGTACACCAGAAGGTGTACCACGGGATGAGTCAGTACACCAGAAGGTGTACCACGGGATGAGTCAGTACACCAGAAGGTACATCACGGGATGAGTCAGTACACCAGAAGGTGTACCACGGGATGAGTTAGTACACCAGAAGGTACATCACGGGATGAGTCAGTACACCAGAAGGTACATCACGGGATGAGTCAGTACACCAGAAGGTACATCACGGGATGAGTCAGTACACCAGAAGGTGTACCACGGGATGAGTCAGTACACCAGAAGGTACATCACGGGATGAGTCAGTACACCACAAGGTACATCACGGGATGAGTCAGTACACCAGAAGGTACATCACGGGATGAGTCAGTACACCAGAAGGTACATCACGGGATGAGTCAGTACACCAGAAGGTACATCACGGGATGAGTCAGTACACCAGAAGGTACATCACGGGATGAGTCAGTACACCAGAAGGTGTACCACGGGATGAGTCAGTACACCAGAAGGTACATCACGGGATGAGTCAGTACACCAGAAGGTACATCACGGGATGAGTCAGTACACCAGAAGGTACATCACGGGATGAGTCAGTACACCAGAAGGTACATCACGGGATGAGTCAGTACACCAGAAGGTGTACCACGGGATGAGTCAGTACACCAGAAGGTACATCACGGGATGAGTCAGTACACCAGAAGGTACATCACGGGATGAGTCAGTACACCAGAAGGTACACCACGGGATGAGTCAGTACACCACAAGGTACAGCACGGGATGAGTCAGTACACCACAAAGTACATTTTAGTTAAATGCATTAATACAAATAGTAATCTTATTTTCTTCTTTACAAAAGCTGAAAATATACGCTGTGACTGTCAGAAAGCAGTTTTACTCTAACAAGACCAGAGTAGGGACCCGTAGCGCGGGGCCCCACTTGCCAACAACTGGCGCAGTTGGCTGAAATCCGTCTTTGAATACAACGCGGAGTGTACAGCACAAACATTGGAGTACACCAGAGTACTGGCGAGTACTGTAGCGGTTGGGCACGAAGACGAGCCCGGTACGTCAACACTCACAACTGGAGGAGAGGGCAAGGGAGGGAGAGTGAGAGGAAGACACGCGCGACAGTGATCACGGAAGATGAAGCGCTCGCTGGAAGCGGTGGCGTTGATAAGGTTGTGCGCAATTGACCAGTGAAATTTAGCTCACAGTGATAGAGCGAGAAGGGGAGGTGGTGGTGGCCAGGGTGATGACACCCTGGGCTGGGTTAGTATGATGACAGCCTGGACTAAGTTAGCATGATGACAGCGTGACCAGTCAGGCGGAGTGTCAGCAGACCACCACGGGCCACCAATCAGCTGGCAGCCACAGTACCATGTCCTCGCATCGCTTCCCAGAGCTACTTAGTCATTCCGGCTCAGTGCTTCCTCGTCATAATTACCTTGAGAGGCAAGTGGTGTCTCACCTGGTGGGCAGGGCGAGGCTGATGGGCGGAGGTCGACCTCGGGGAGTCGTCCTCGCTCTCGGCGCCGCTGCTGGTGGCTGAGGATGACGTCTCGTCAGGGGGCGGGGTCTCGTCGGGCGGGGGTTCGAACCCTGCGTCAGACCCTCCCCGGCCCTCTTGTAGCAGATGGTCCAACCGCAGCACGTGGTCACTGATCACCTGTGGACACGTGGAGTGTTGGGTGAGTGGTGGACACGTGGGGTGTTGGGCGAGTGGTGGACACGGGGGGTGTTGGGTGAGTGGTGGACACTGGGGGTGTTGGGTGAGTGGACACGTGGGGTGTTGGGTGAGTGGTGGACACGGGGGGGTGTTGGGTGAGTGGTGGACACGGGGGGGGGGAGGTGAGTGGTGGACACGGGGGTGTTGGGTGAGTGGTGGACACGGGGGGGGGGGGGTGAGTGGTGGACACGGGGGGTGTTGGGTGAGTGGTGGACACGGGGGGTGTTGGGTGAGTGGTGGACACGGGGGGTGTTGGGTGAGTGGTGGACACGGGGGGGTGTTGGGTGAGTGGTGGACACGGGGGGGGGGTGTTAGGTGAGTGGTGGACACGGGGGGGGGTGTTGGGTTAGTGGTGGACACGGGGGAAGGGGTGTTGGGTGAGTGGTGGACACGGGGGGGGTGAGTGGTGGACACGGGGGGGGTGAGTGGTGGACACGGGGGGGGTGAGTGGTGGACACGGGGGGGTGAGTGGTGGACACGGGGGGGGGGTGAGTGGTGGACACGGGGGGGGTGAGTGGTGGACACGGGGGGGTGAGTGGTGGACACGGGGGGGGGGTGAGTGGTGGACACGGGGGGGGGTGAGTGGTGGACACGGGGGGGGGTGAGTGGTGGACACGGGGGGGGTGAGTGGTGGACACGGGGGGGGGTGAGTGGTGGACACGGGGGGGGGGGTGGTGGACACGGGGGGGGTGAGTGGTGGACACGGGGGGTGTTGGGTGAGTGGTGGACACGGGGGGTGTTGGGTGAGTGGTGGACACGGGGGGGGGGGTGAGTGGTGGACACGGGGGGTGTTGGGTGAGTGGCGGACACGGGGGGTGTTGGGTGAGTGGTGGACACGGGGGGTGTTGGGTGAGTGGACACGGGGGGTGTTGGGTGAGTGGTGGACACGGGGGGTGTTGGGCGAGTGGTGGACACGGGGGGGGGGGGGGTGTTGGGTGAGTGGACACGGGGGGGGGTGTTGGGTGAGTGGTGGACAGTGGTGGGGGGGGGGGGGGGGGGTGTTGGGTGAGTGGTGGACACGGGGGGGGGTGAGTGGTGGACACGGGGGGGGGGTGAGTGGTGGACGGGGGGGGGGGGGGGGGGTGTTGGGTGAGTGGTGGACACGGGGGGGGGGTGTTGGGTGAGTGGTGGACACGGGGGGGGGGGGGGGGGTGAGTGGTGGACACGGGGGGGGAGGTGAGTGGTGGACACGGGGGGTGTTGGGTGAGTGGTGGACACGGGGGGGGGTGAGTGGTGGACACGGGGGGGGGTGAGTGGTGGACACGGGGGGGGGGGGGTGAGTGGTGGACACGGGGGGGGTGAGTGGTGGACACGGGGGGGGGGTGAGTGGTGGACACGGGGGGGGGGTGTTGGGTGAGTGGTGGACACGGGGGGGGTGTTGGGTGAGTGGTGGACACGGGGGGGGGTGTTGAGTGGTGGACACGGGGGGGGTGGGGTGTTGGGTGAGTGGACACGGGGGGGGGGGGTGTTGGGTGAGTGGTGGACACGGGAGGGGTGTTGGGTGAGTGGTGGACACGGGAGGGGTGTTGGGTGAGTGGTGGACACGGGGGGGGGTGTTGGGTGAGTGGTGGACACGGGGGGTGTGTTGGGTGAGTGGTGGACACAGGGGGTGTGTTGGGTGAGTGGTGGACACGGGGGGGGTGTTGGGTGAGTGGTGGACACGGGGGGGGGTGTTGGGTGAGTGGTGGACACGGGGGGGGGGTGAGTGGTGGACACGGGGGGGGTGAGTGGTGGACACGGGGAGGGGGTGTTGGGTGAGTGGACACGGGGGGGGGGATGTTGGGTGAGTGGTGGACACGGGGGGGGGGGGGTGTTTGGTGAGTGGGGGACAGAGGCTGGGGGGTGGCATGGGTGAGGGACAGGCTGCGGGGGGGGGGTGGCATGGGTGAGGGACAGGCTGGGGGGGGGGTGGCATGGGTGAGGGACAGGCTGGGGGGGTGGCATGGGTGAGGGACAGGCTGGGGGGGTGGCATGGGTGAGGGACAGGCTGGGGGGGGTGGCATGGGTGAGGGACAGGCTGGGGGGGTGGCATGGGTGAGGGACAGGCTGGGGGGGTGGCATGGGTGAGGGACAGGCTGGGGGGGTGGCATGGGTGAGGGACAGGCTGGGGGGGTGGCATGGGTGAGGGACAGGCTGGGGGGGTGGCATGGGTGAGGGACAAGCTGGGGGGGGGGTGGCATGGGTGAGGGACAGGCTGGGGGGGGGTGGCATGGGTGAGGGACAGGCTGGGGGGGGGTGGCATGGGTGAGGGACAGGCTGGGGGGTGGCATGGGTGAGGGACAGGCTGGGGGGGGGGTGGCATGGGTGGGGGACAGGCTGGGGGGGGGGTGGCATGGGTGAGGGACAGGCTGGGGGGGGTGGCATGGGTGAGGGACAGGCTGGGGGGGGGGTGGCATGGGTGAGGGACAGGCTGGGGGGTGGCATGGGTGAGGGACAGGCTGGGGGGGTGGCATGGGTGAGGGACAGGCATGGGTGAGGGACAGGCTGGGGGGGGGGGGTGGCATGGGTGAGGGACAGGCTGGGGGGGGGGGTGGCATGGGTGAGGGACAGGCTGGGGGGGTGGCATGGGTGAGGGACAGGCTGGGGGGGTGGCATGGGTGAGGGACAGGCTGGGGGGGTGGCATGGGTGAGGGACAGGCTGGGGGGGTGGCATGGGTGAGGGACAGGCTGGGGGGGGTGGCATGGGTGAGGGACAGGCTGGCATGGGTGAGGGGGGGGGTGGCATGGGTGAGGGACAGGCTGGGGCTGGGGGGGGTGGCATGGCATGGGTGAGGGACAGGCTGGGGGGGTGGCATGGGTGAGGGACAGGCTGGGGGGGGGGGGGGAGGGACATGGGTGAGGGAGGGACACAGGGTGAGGGACAGGGGGGGTGGCATGGGTGAGGGACAGGCTGGGGGGGTGGCATGGGTGAGGGACAGGCTGGGGGGGTGGCATGGGTGAGGGACAGGCTGGGGGGGTGGCATGGGTGAGGGACAGGCTGGGGGGGTGGCATGGGTGAGGGACAGGCTGGGGGGGTGGCATGGGTGAGGGACAGGCTGGGGGGGTGGCATGGGTGAGGGACAGGCTGGGGGGGGTGGCATGGGTGAGGGACAGGCTGGGGGGGTGGCATGGGTGAGGGACAGGCTGGGGGGGTGGCATGGGTGAGGGACAGGCTGGGGGGGTGGCATGGGTGAGGGACAGGCTGGGGGGGTGGCATGGGTGAGGGACAGGCTGGGGGGGTGGCATGGGTGAGGGACAGGCTGGGGGGGTGGCATGGGTGAGGGACAGGCTGGGGGGGGGTGGCATGGGTGAGGGACAGGCTGGGGGGGTGGCATGGGTGAGTGGGGACACGGGGGGGGGGGTGGTGGCATGGGTGGGGACACGGGGGGGGTGGTTGGGTGAGGGTGGACACGGGGGGTGGCATGGGTGAGGGACAGGCTGGGGAGGTGGCATGGGTGAGGGACAGGGTGGACACGGGGGGGGGGGTGTTGGGTGAGTGGTGGACACAGGGGGGGGGGTGGCATGGGTGAGGGACAGGCTGGGGGGGGTGGCATGGGTGAGGGACAGGCTGGGGGGGTGGCATGGGTGAGGGACAGGGGGGGGGGGGTGGCATGGGTGAGGGACAGGGGGGGGGGTGGCATGGGTGAGGGACAGGCTGGGGGGGTGGCATGGGTGAGGGACAGGCTGCAGGGGGGGGGGGGGTGGCATGGGTGAGGGACAGGCTGGGGGGGGGGGTGGCATGGGTGAGGGACAGGCTGGGGGGGTGGCATGGGTGAGGGACAGGCTGGGGGGGGTGGCATGGGTGAGGGACAGGCTGGGGGGGGGGGTGGCATGGGTGAGGGACAGGCTGGGGGGGTGGCATGGGTGAGGGACAGGCTGGGGGGGTGGCATGGGTGAGGGACAGGCTGGGGGGGTGGCATGGGTGAGGGACAGGCTGGGGGGGTGGCATGGGTGAGGGACAGGCTGGGGGGGGGGGGTGAGGGACAGGCTGGGGGGGTGGCATGGGTGGGACAGGCTGCTGGGGGGTGGCATGGGTGAGGGACAGGCTGGGGGGGTGGCATGGGTGAGGGACAGGCTGGGGGGTGGCATGGGTGAGGGACAGGCTGGGGGGGTGGCATGGGTGAGGGACAGGCTGAGGGACAGGGGGGGGTGGCATGGGTGAGGGACAGGCTGGGGGGGGGTGGCATGGGTGAGGGACAGGCTGGGGGGGTGGCATGGGTGAGGGACAGGCTGGGGGGGTGGCATGGGTGAGGGACAGGCTGGGGGGGTGGCATGGGTGAGGGACAGGCTGGGGGGGTGGCATGGGTGAGGGACAGGCTTGGGAGGTGGCATGGGTGAGGGACAGGCTGGGGGGGTGGCATGGGTGAGGGACAGGCTTGGGAGGTGGCATGGGTGAGGGACAGGCTGGGGGGGTGGCATGGGTGAGGGACAGGCTTGGGAGGTGGCATGGGTGAGGGACAGGCTGGGGGGGTGGCATGGGTGAGGGACAGGCATGGTGAGGGTGAGGGACAGGCTGGGGGGGGGGGGGGCGCACAACCAACCTTGATGTCCTGGGCGCCGCAGCATGGGTCGTCGCAGGCGCTGCCGGATGACTCTGTGTCAGACTCGAAGCCCTCATCCTTCCTGATGGGTGTCATCCATATGTGCTCCTCGTCACACACCAGCTGCCGCCGCTCGCTTCCTCCCTGGCGGAGACGCTCACGTTAACGGGGTCACTCTGGGACAATGGAAGTGCTACGCTCCAACACAAAATGCCACATTTGTTTCAGGATGCAGTTCAAAGCTAGCTAGCTCTCTACGTCTCTATCTATTTCTCTATATCTATATATCTATCTATATCTATTTCTATCGATCTATCTATCTCTATCTCTCTCGGGTTTGACAGTAGTGACGATCTCTCTCCATGCAGGTCGGCGTTCAATCCCCGACCGTCCAAGTGGTTTGGCACCATTTCTTTCCTCCCATCTCATCTCAAATCCTTATCTTGACCCCTTCCAAGTGCTATATAGTCATAATGGCTCGACTTCTGGAGGTACTGGAGGACCTGGACAAACTCCAAGAGTGGTCAAACAAATGGTTGCTGAATTTCACTCCCAACAATTATATGGTAATGAAGATAGGAAAGGGGAGAAAGACCAGGAGATATCAACACCATAATGGGAAGGCAACTACAGGAATCAGATAAAAAGATTATGAGAGTGGATATAACACTCACAGTGGACACACACACACACACGATAACATCGGAAGCATGTGGGATGCTGACAAAGAAAATCGTTTTAAAACATAAATCAGGATGCCTTCAAGGCAATCTACACAACATTTATTAAACAGGTACTGGAATATGCAGCACCGGCATTGAATCCACACCCTGTGAAGCATAAAGCCAAAACTGAAAAGTGTTTAGCCATATCAAGAGGAAAATATTGAAACAACAGGTGATGAAACTGAGAAAAGGAGAGAAGGAATACAAGGGAATGACAAAGAGGCGTGTGAAGAACTCGTGAAGACAATCCAGGTCCTCACTATCGAGCAAGGAGAAGTCCCTTCACTAAGATTGTAAAAAACCAATTAGCTATGGTTGTATATGAAACTGCCAGAGACGAGTTTACAAGCCATTTGCTAGAACTGGACAAGCTTAAGGCGAGTGCACCGGACAATCTCACCATGGATACTAAAAGTAGGAGCAGAAACACTATGAATACCACTTTCTATGGCGTCACTGGAAACTGGAGACCTTCCAGAAAGTTAGTGACGGGTAATGCAAAAATAAAACTGGTGACAGGCAGGTGGCACAAGACTATGGGGCCGGTGTCCCTAACTTGTATACCATGCAAGGTGACGAAGACGGTCCTGAGACAGAAGGCTGGCAGCACGTCTCAAGAGTAGCAACTTTGCAACACCATCAACAACAACACGTTCAGGGATGGTAAATCTTGCCTTACACGATTAGAATTCTATGTTTAAGTGATACAAATGTAGATGTGATTAAACCCAAAAGGCTCAGGGAGCCGAGGGGCATGAGCTACTAGGAAAGATTTATGGAACTAAACCTCGCGACAATGCAAGACAAGAGTTAGGGGAGACATGATCACCACATATATAATTCTCAGAGGAAATGACAGGGCAGATAAAGATAAACTATTTAGCATGGGTGGTATGCGAACAAGGGGACACAGGTGGAAATTAAGTACCCAAATGAGCCTCAGAGATGTTAGAAAGAACTTTTTCAGTATCAGTAGTTAAGAGGGAATGCATTAGGCAGTGATGTGGTGGAGGCTGACTCCATACACAGTTTCAAATGTAGATATGATAGAGCCCAGCAGGCTCAGGAATCTGTACACCAGTTGATGGTTGATAGAAGAAGACAAAGAGCCGAAGCTCAACTCTTGCAAGCACAACTAGGCGAGTACACACGCACACCAATTCTTCAGTACACGTTACAGTGGTCTTACCTTAGCATAGTTATGGGTGGTGTGGGCGTGATGGGCGGACGGTAGCGGAGGGAGGAGGTGGTCAACAAGGGCGGTAAGTGTGGCGGAGGACTGTGCCCCGATCACGGCCCGCCGCCCGTGGTACACCACCTCGCACGTGAATGACCCGCCTGCCATCCTGGCGCTCTTCCTGCCTCTCCGTCAAGGCTTCCTCCACACAACCATAGCAACACAACACTAGTCACAGCTACACACTCGCCCAATATTCCTCACACGTGGACTATTGCAACACTTTGTCTATAATTTTCCCAGCTAGGCCACCTCGCAATACTCGGCCAGCACCGACACTCAAAACTACACCGTTTAAACTATAAATAATGACATTTCACCGTTCACAGTCACGAGGCAACTTTCGCAATGTTGACCACTGACCATAGTCGTCTTTTTCCACAAATTTGGACGACACTACTCGAGTGCCCTCAGAGGTACTGACGAGTCCCTTCAGAGTCTCCTAGAACAACATCTGTCACCAGCTTCACATACAACAATGTTGTCAATGTGTTTCTTCCATACCTGTTACTTCCTCTACCCTCGGGTGCTTCACTTATTTACCTACAGTGGGAGGGGAGTTTCCCTCATACAGGCTATCATGCCTCAGTGTTAGTGAGGATTTTCTTCCCCAGCGGTGGTGAGGTGAGGAAGGGAGAGAGGCAGAGAATGGAGACGTTCGTCACTAAGGCGCCGAGGACGTCTCCGTCACGGCCGTCTGAAAGTAAAAATAATAGTATAAGTCAACAAGCCAAGCAATACAAGATGCTGTCATGTCAACACAAGTCACAGGTGGAAATGAAAGATATGATGAAGACATGTTTACAGAGCCCCTGGTGGTGTAGTGTTGCTGTACTCCGCGCCTACCCCCCCCCCCTCCCCTCCCACCACTAAGGTTCATCTTGGAACCTTACACGAACCTTCCTCCTGGCTTGGTTGCTGTTGACGTCTCTTGCATTAGTACACACTCAAGTACTCTAACCTTCCTAACAAACGTGACCTAACTTAAGTCTATCACCACCCCTTTTTTTTCTTTTTTCTTACCCTCATCTTATTCTTGCCTATCCCTTTTTTCCTTCACTCCATTATTACACTCGTCTCATTCGTACCTTTCATCCTATTCTTATCTTCTAGAACTACTACTTCTTATCTGCTGAACACCTTTCACCTTACCTTCTAGAATTACCTTCTTATTTGATCAGTTTCTCACCTCACTCTTTCGTTATTTACTGCCCGTGTCTTCCTCTGTATCACACCTACTCGGTACAAGACCTCCTCATGGAGGTTACCTCACCAAAGTTCAATGACAGCGCGGTTCAGTCAAAGTAAAAACGGAAGGCCTGTCTTGAGATGATTTCGGGGCTTTAGTGTCCCCGCGGCCCGGTCCTCGACCAGGCCTCCACCCCCAGGAAGCAGCCCGTGACAACTGACTAACTCCCAGGTACCTATTTACTGCTAGGTAACAGGGGCATTCAGGGTGAAAGAAACTTTGCCCATTTGTTTCTGCCTCGTGCGGGAATCGAACCCGCGCCACAGAATTACGAGTCCTGCGCGCTATCCATCAGGCTACGAGGCCCCTATCCATAGACCTATAGAGGTCTACACTAACCCAGCAGCTCCATAACTGGTAGTCAACCCTCCCAGGCTGAAATTCACCGTCAAGACTCCCCCCCCCCCCTCCATCCCCAGATCTCCAATATCAGTTATTAATACAGATAATGACCAAAGAGCCTCCACTTACGGGCTCACCATAGCCCGTGCTCCTTGGAACTTCTTGTTCCGAGTAGCTGATTTTAAAAACAACTGTATCTTACGGGTTATTCATGCCCGTGCCACCTCTTGGGTGGCTTAATCTATGAAACAATCCCATTTCCTATCACCAACGACTTGATAACTGTCCAGGACACACCGAAACGTCGTCGCTTCATCGTCTGCTGCGTGATTTGGTCATCAAATCTTTACCCACTTTGTCACGAATATTATATATATTATTATTATATGCGCGCGACAAGACTTGAATGGGTCCCAAGTTATTGTAACAAGATTATACTAAGCCTTGATAATACTGAACTATTGTAACTTATCCAAGTAACACTTCCTACTGGTTGCACTTGGCAACTTTGTAACACTTGGTAACACTTAAGGTAAAACCTTGATGATGCTAGTTAGTGAACACTGGTATTTGTATGTAATGTAATATGAACTGATGTGGTGCACCGCTGATGGTTACACCCATAATGACCCTCATGGTCAATTATTAAGGGCGCCTGACAGCTGAGTGGACAGTGCTTCGGATTCGTACTCCTGAGGTTCCGGGTTCGATCCCCGGTGGAGGCGGAGACAAATGTGCAAAATGTTTCTTTCACCCTGATGCTCCTGTTACCTAGCAGTAAATAGGTGCCTGGGAGTTAGACAGCTGCTACGGGCTGCTTCCTGAGGGGGGGGGGGGTTAACAAAAAGGAGGCCTGGTCAATGACCGGGCCGCGGGGACGCTAAGCCCCGAAATCATCTCAAGATAACCCAGAACCAGTGGTACCTTCCCAAGGAAATGCTACACAGAGATGAAAGGTATTAACTACGCTGCCACCATCCTGCCTGGGAATTAAATTATATCAAGTAGACGCAAGAAGCATTACTTGGCTTAAGACTTCTCCTTTAAATGGTTTTAATTACTGATCGGTTGTTAATAAACTGAACACAGAGGATAGCTAGGTTCAACTAATTGGCGAACACACATATGGAAAGTTTAACATGAGTTTATTTAGGACAAAAATTATGATATTCACCAAACTCTTAAGTCCCTACCCTAACACTGGCAATTGTTAAGACCTCCTACACGGACCAATACCAAAGTACACAAACATTACCTTCTGGGTACTGCTCCCCCCCCCCCTCCCCGTGTGGATTCACTGCCTCCCTCTGACCGCGTCTGGTGACCCAGTGACTCTGATGCCTCGTCCCCAGCACTCTTATTCTAACCTTCCCTACAGGGCATATATATACTCACTCTTGTCATGCTGCCACACCTCATATCAGCTGGTTAGAAAGAGGGGGGGCGGGGGCTTTACTGTTGCCAACCATAACCATCGAGGCCTGTAGGTGGTCTGGTCTCCATGTGCAAAAACACTCAAAAATTTACCATTAGGTTTGTTTGACAACTATCATACACCTCTCAAGGAAGGGGAGATTAATTATGGAAGGGTGAGGGAGGAAAGGAATGTTTCCATCATGAATGTTTCCACCACCAAACACTCAACTCTGCAGGTGGCTGATCTCTGACCTGGGGGGGGGGGGGGGGGGGGTAGGTCTCTGGGTGTTACAACTCCATTAAACATGTTTGACAAGAGACTATCTTAATTTAATATCTACTTGAAACAAACTGTCTTTGGTCTTGCCAGGAAATATTGCAATTAACTCTGCAAGACGATCAGAGATCACTTGGGCTGATGAGAGCGAGAGTCATGAGTGTACACTCTCTGCTTGTTACATAATATATATCACAAAACTCATCCTCACTGACGGTTCCAATCCAGACAGTCTTCCTTGTAAACATTTGTGGAATATGACCGACAGGGTAAGATTAATGATTCTAACACGAATTTTTTCAATATTTGTTTTTCTTCACGTCAAGGAAAGTTGAAAAATTAACTCTCCAAAGTTCATGTTCACAATTTATTATGGTTGAAGAATCAACCCACTGAAGAATCAACCCACTGAAGAATCAACCCACTGAAGAATCAACCCACTGAAGAATCAACCCACTGAAGAATCAACCCACTGAAGAATCAACCCACTGAAGAATCAACCCACTGAAGAATCAACCCACTGAAGAATCAACCCACTGAAGAATCAACCCACTGAAGAATCAACCCACTGAAGAATCAACCCACTGAAGAATCAACCCACTGAAGAATCAACCAACTGAAGAATCAACCAACTGAAGAATCAACCAACTGAAGAATCAACCCACTGAAGAATCAACCCACTGAAGAATCAACCAACTGAAGAATCAACCAACTGAAGAATCAACCAACTGAAGAATCAACCCACTCAACATCTGTACCTCCTATCAGACTGTTTTACAGGAACTTGAACAAATCCACAATAGCCGTGACGAGGGTTCGAACCTCCGTCGGAGAGGATCCCAAAGGCACCTTCATCGTCCTCTCGGACGTAGGTTCAAACCGTCGTCACGGCCCTTGTGGATTTGTTCATTTGCTGCATCACGCTATTGTGATGCGTGTAGTGTAGGTTGTGTTTACAGGAACCTCTTTTCCACGGCTTATAAAACTGAGAGAGTTCTGAAAGATATTATTAATAGTAACGTTATCCCCACAGACACAAACCAGAAGATACAATTAACAATTTGCTACAAAAACAAGAAGACCGCCAACCTACTTATGAAGAACTCTCCCAGACACCAAACAGCACGCCTTAAGAGACACCAACGTCGTCTATGCCTTCACATGCCCACTTGGGAACTGTCAGCCCCAAAATATAAGGAGTGCCCTGCAAAATGTATCCCTAGGCGTCAGACCATAATAAATTGTGAATATGAAATTTGGAGAGTTAATTTTTCAACTTCCCGCTACAGTGAAGAAAAAACATAAGAAATAGTGAGCTCTCAGCTGTTCTCTCCTCCTCCTTTAGCCCCCCCCCCCCTCCTACTCCCCAAACTCACTCACTCACACTCTCGTAGATTTTGAAGTTTTCGATAATTTATTGTCAATAGATAGACTTTCTAATTTCATAAAGCAATCCCCCAACTGTTGTAGATACTGATGGTCAGACATTAGGGAAAACAAGCCGAGTGCTACCAAATGTTAGCCATGGTCGTGGCCTTCCTCCTGCTACCGCGCGCAGGTCATGGCCACATTATGGACCAAAGACTTCACTGTCCCACTTACAGTGATGCACCTCCTCCTACAATGTTCTCATCTTCACACTATCATCTGGCTTCCCCAGTGTGCTACTTAAGACTATTCCCAGATTATAATCCTCGGTGGACCTGGAGATAACTTGACATGGCTCCTCTTGTGTCTCCACCTCCGTTGTTCACAACCTGTTGACGTCCAGGACCCTGCCAGTCCCGCAACACACACGGGACTCTGCCGGCAGAGTCGCGTGTGTGTTGCGGAACTGCCGGCGTCCCGTGTGTGCCAGAGTCCCGCAACACACACGGGAAGTCTTCCTGGCTTGGCTCCTCCCACTGATAATCATTTGAACAAAAACTAACATAGGAAGCTAACGTAACTTAGAGGCAAATTATTTCTCAGTGTTAGCAGACTTGTCAAATGTGACCAATATTATATAACTTTATAATTAAAATGTACAAGGTGATGCAAACATTCCCGTGATGATACAGCAAAACAATTATTATCCACACTATACTTATGTTTAACACGTGAAAAGTTAAAAAAAAGCACAAAGATATATGATCTGGCCATGCTTATGTATATTACTCGAGATGTTTATGAATATTATACTGACATGTATATTACTTGAGATGTATATTATGTTTTTCAGTGAACGTGTATGAAGAGTTGACTACTGAGCCTTGGGACTCTACTGCGAGTCTCGCTCACCGTTTTCTGTGGAGGTGGTGAAGAAGGTTGCCACCTACAGCAGTGTACTCCACACAGTGTTGTGGTGTCCGGTGTCCGCCGGGGAGACAGTGTGAGTGTCACACTAGGCATGGTCTTCACCACAAGACAGTAGCGCTGTGCTCTGACCTGCCCCACCTTGGCCAACTTGACTGTTGGCCAAGTGGCAACTGTACCTCCCGGCCACCTGTCGAAGGACAGGTGGCCGGGAGGGAGGAATTATGGTCTTGTTAAGTTCCTGCTGCCGTCATTAGTGGTGAGATGACCGTTACGGGTTGTTGAGGAGACGACCTTTACTGGTTGTTAGTGGAGACGAGACCACGGTTACTGCCTGTTAGTAGTGAGGCGACGACCTTTACTGGCTGTTAGTAGTGAGGAGACTAACCCACTGCTTGTTAGGAGACCAGTGTTCCTGGCTGTTAGACCACCGTTACTACACACACAAATCACACTAACGTCACCTATCAGTGAGAAAATCCTTAGGAGCCGTGATGAGGGTTCGAACCTATGTGCTGGGTATTCCCAGGTACACACCCTAGACCTATACCTGGGGAGCCGGTGGCCGAGCGGACAGCACGCTAGGCATGTGATCCTGTGGTCCCGGGTTCGATCCCGGGCGCCGCCGAGAAACGATGGGCAGTTTCTTTCACTATGCCCCTGTTACCTAGCAGTAAATAGGTACCTGGGAGTTAGTCAGCTGTCACGGGCTGGTTCCTGGGGTGTGTGTGTGTGGTGGAAAAAAATAGTAGTAGTAGAAAAAGTTGATTGACAGTTGAGAGGCGGGTCGAAAGAGCAGAGCTCAACCCCCGCACAACTAGGTGAATACAACAAGGTATTCTAGTGAATACTAGACCACGATAACGCATAACTCATCCAATGGTCCAGTATACACCCTGGTGTATGGTCCAGTATACACCCTGGTGTATGGTCCAGTATACACCCTGGTGTATGGTCCAGTATACACCCTGGTGTATGGTCCAGTATACACCCTGGTGTATGGTCCAGTATACACCCTGGTGTATGGTCCAGTATACACCCTGGTGTATGGTCCAGTATACACCCTGGTGTATGGTCCAGTATACACCCTGGTGTATGGTCCAGTATACACCCTGGTGTATAATGGACCACCCGGTTTACACCAGTATGGTTAATATAAAATATGTGAGAATAATGCAGGTCTTACCTCCCAAGGGGCACAGGGCGTGTGGGCCTGGCTCCAGGCGGGGCGGCGCGGGCACAGGAGGGCGTGGATGGTGGCGTGCGTTACGCAACGGGTGGATAAGGGGGGGTTAGATAGTTACACGGGGCGTGGGTGGTGTGGGCGTGGCACGGGGAAACCAACCCGTTGGTGGTAGAGGGCGTGGTTGGATGGGAAGGGGCGTGGGTAACTCCAGGATCTCACGCGTCGACAAATCCAGAAGCCCTCAATCTTCTGAGTTATCTTGAAGGAACGGCTGTGAGGGAGAGAAAGGGACTGTGAGTGCTTTAGCAGGATGAGTGGGGATCGAACATGGTAAAGTTTCACAAATGCTGGAGCACCAAGTCTTGGACGCCCAGCAAGACATGCCCGCCAGGCTATACTTAGCCGCAGTCTTCCAAGTTGACACCACAGACACCGACAGACACAGGCAGGCACAACACGCAGGGAGGGGAGGGCTGCCAGCACAACAGGGCTGCCAGCACCACAGGGGAGGGCTGCCAGCAGCACACACGCAGGGAGGGCTGCCAGCACCACACGCAGGCAGGGCTGCCAGCACCACACGCAGGGCTGCCAGCACCACACGCAGGGAGGGAGGGCTGCCAGCACAGGGAGGGCTGCCAACACGCAGGGAGGGGAGGGCTGCCAGCACACGCAGGCAGGGGAGGGCTGCCAGCAGCAGGCAGGGGAGGGCTGCCAGCACAACACGCAGGGAGGGGAGGGCTGCCAGCACAACACGCAGGGAGGGGAGGGCTGCCAGCACAACACGCAGGGAGGGGAGGGCTGCCAGCACAACACGCAGGGAGGGGAGGGCTGCCAGCACAACACGCAGGGAGGGGAGGGCTGCCAGCACAACACGCAGGGAGGGGAGGGCTGCCAGCACAACACGCAGGGAGGGGAGGGCTGCCAGCACAACACGCAGGCAGGGGAGGGCTGCCAGCACAACACGCAGGCAGGGGAGGGCTGCCAGCACAACACGCAGGGAGGGGAGGGCTGCCAGCACAACACGCAGGGAGGGGAGGGCTGCCAGCACAACACGCAGGGAGGGGAGGGCTGCCAGCACACAACACGCAGGGAGGGGAGGGCTGCCAGCACAACACGCAGGGAGGGGAGGGCTGCCAGCACCACACGCAGGGAGGGGAGGGCTGCCAGCACCACACGCAGGGAGGGGAGGGCTGCCAGCACCACACGCAGGGAGGGGAGGGCTGCCAGCACCACACGCAGGGAGGGGAGGGCTGCCAGCACCACAGGGGAGGGCTGCCGCAGGGAGGGGAGGGCTGCCAGCACCACACGCAGGGAGGGGAGGGCTGCCGGCACCACACGCAGGCAGGGGAGGGCTGCCAGCACCACACGCAGGGAGGGGAGGGCTGCCAGCACCACACGCAGGCAGGGGAGGGCTGCCAGCACCACACGCAGGGAGGGCTGCCAGCACCACACGCAGGGGAGGGCTGCCAGCACCACACGCAGGGGAGGGCTGCCAGCACCACACGCAGGGAGGGGAGGGCTGCCAGCACCACACGCAGGGAGGGGAGGGCTGCCAGCACCACACGCAGGGAGGGGAGGGCTGCCAGCACCACACGCAGGGAGGGGAGGGCTGCCAGCACCACACGCAGGGAGGGGAGGGCTGCCAGCACCACACGCAGGCACCACAGGGGAGGGCTGCCAGCACCACACGCAGGGAGGGAGGGCTGCCAGCACCACACGCAGGCAGGGGAGGGCTGCCAGCACCACACGCAGGGAGGGGAGGGCTGCCAGCACCACACGCAGGCAGGGGAGGGCTGCCAGCACCACACGCAGGGAGGGGAGGGCTGCCAGCACCACACGCAGGCAGGGCTGCCAGCACCACACGCAGGGAGGGCTGCCAGCACCACACGCAGGGAGGGGAGGGCTGCCAGCACCACACGCAGGGAGGGAGGGCTGCCAGCACCACACGCAGGCAGGGGAGGGCTGCCAGCACCACACGCAGGGAGGGGAGGGCTGCCAGCACCACACGCAGGGAGGGGAGGGCTGCCAGCACCACACGCAGGCAGGGGAGGGCTGCCAGCACCACACGCAGGCAGGGGAGGGCTGCCAGCACCACACGCAGGGAGGGGAGGGCTGCCAGCACCACACGCAGGGAGGGCTGCCAGCACCACACGCAGGGAGGGCTGCCAGCACCACACGCAGGGAGGGCTGCCAGCACCACACGCAGGGAGGGGAGGGCTGCCAGCACCACACGCAGGGAGGGCTGCCAGCACCACACGCAGGCAGGGAGGGAGGGCTGCCAGCACCACACGCAGGCAGGCAGGGAGGGAGGGCTGCCAGCACCACACGCAGGCAGGGAGGGAGGGCTGCCAGCACCACACGCAGGCAGGGAGGGAGGGCTGCCAGCACCACACGCAGGCAGGGAGGGAGGGCTGCCAGCACCACACGCAGGCAGGGGAGGGAGGGCTGCCAGCACCACACGCAGGCAGGGAGGGAGGGCTGCCAGCACCACACGCAGGCAGGGAGGGCTGCCAGCACCACACGCAGGCAGGGAGGGAGGGCTGCCAGCACCACACGCAGGCAGGGAGGGAGGGCTGCCAGCACCACACGCAGGCAGGGAGGGAGGGGGAGGGCTGCCAGCACCACACGCAGGCAGGGAGGGAGGGCTGCCAGCACCACACGCAGGCAGGGAGGGAGGGCTGCCAGCACCACACGCAGGCAGGGAGGGAGGGCTGCCAGCACCACACGCAGGCAGGGAGGGCTGCCAGCAGGGAGGGAGGGCTGCCAGCACCACACGCAGGCAGGGAGGGGAGGGCTGCCAGCACCACACGCAGGCAGGGAGGGCTGCCAGCACCACACGCAGGCAGGGAGGGCTGCCAGCACGCACGCAGGGAGGGGAGGGCTGCCAGCACCACACGCAGGCAGGGAGGGGAGGGCTGCCAGCACCACACACACGCAGGCAGGGGAGGGCTGCCAGCACCACACGCAGGCAGGGGAGGGCTGCCAGCACCACACAGGCAGGCAGGGAGGGCTGCCAGCACCACACGCAGGCAGGGAGGGCTGCCAGCACCACACGCAGGCAGGGAGGGCTGCCAGCACCACACGCAGGCAGGGGAGGGCTGCCAGCACCACACGCAGGCAGGGGAGGGCTGCCAGCACCACACGCAGGCAGGGGAGGGCTGCCAGCACCACACGCAGGCAGGGGAGGGCTGCCAGCACCACACGCAGGCAGGGAAGGCTGCCAGTATCAACACAGGTGTAAAGAAGGTCTTGTGGCTCTTTAAGATATAGATGCTTCGACCTTTGAGAGCGGTAGTGGCGGAAGGTCCAGGTCATGGCTTCCGCCTCCCCCGCGGCCTTCCTCCCTACCCCTCTACCCCTCTACCCCTCCCTCGCCGTCTCCGTCCCAGCCTCCGTCCCAGCCTCCGTCCCAGCCTCCCTTCAAGTTGAGACGTGCAGTGATCTGCACTGATTCAAAAGCAGCACTACAAAGCCTTAGAAAAATACAGGCAGGAAACCAAGCAATATAGTCACTCATTTGTAGAGAGCCGAGTACTAACCAATCAGGTAAGAGTGGTCAAATTCCTGTGAACTTTGACCAAGAGCTAAGCTGGTGGCCCAATAGCTAGCTGGCCCAGGGCAACCAACCATCACAAGACACAATTGCGAGAGGAAATACACAATACCCCCATGAAGAAAACCATTTACCAATAAATATGTCCAATGTACATTAACATTGGTGTCTGAGTGGGTATACGTGAAGGTTACACAAGTATTCATCTATACACATCCATATGTATTGTATGTGAACAACCTCACGACCACTCAGCCGCTCCCAGACAAGAGAGAGTAAACTTAGCAACACACGCCCGCCCGTCTGCTGTCATAACATGTATCAGCAAGGCGGACAGCCCGCCTCCTGTCATAACATGTATCAGCAAGGCGGACAGCCCGCCTGCTGTCATAACATGTATCAGCAAGGCGGACAGCCCGCCTCCTGTCATAACATGTATCAGCAAGGCGGACAGCCCGCCTCCTGTCATAACATGTATCAGCAAGGCGGACAGCCCGCCTCCTGTCATACCTTCTACCATGTATCCCACTCGGTCGAGTACCCGGCAGTGGCCGGGTCTCAACCCACCACCCCCCTCCACCTCTTTCTCTTTCGTAATCGCCCCTCCCTCTCTCATACCTCCTACTCTTCCCCCCCCCCCCTCCCACGCCACTCTCTGGGAGAGAACGAAGACTAGATTAGAAGAGAGGAAAAGAGCCACTACCTAGGGAAGAGTGGGAAAACCAAACCAAATTGACGTGTTCAGGACTGAGGGTTGAGTCAGCAGTCTCCTTAACCTGACAGTGTTTCCAGGAGGCGGCAGCGAGCCCAGCTTCCGGAGGCTGCCCCCGCTACGATGCCACCGGACATCCTCAGGTGATACAAGCCTTGAACAGTGTCTGGGAGATACGGAAGGAGAGCAGGAGGAAGATGAGGAGACTGGAGGAAGGAGGGAACAAGCCAAAATGACTCAGAAGAACAGCTTCTCCCACCGTGCCGTACACCACTGACCAAGGTGGACGGGTCCCCCAGCACCCCCTCCTCCGCCACACTTGCCGCTACACCGCCACACACTGTCTTCTCGTTTCTTGTATGGCACCGTCTGCCACTCTACGGCACCAAGGTATATGTGGCACGGTATAGGACCACGGGATAAGTGACACAGCATGCAACCAAGGCATATGATATTGCATATGTGGCACTGTATGTGAACACTGTATATATGGCACAGTACGGGACCAAGATATATGGCACTGTGCTGGGAAGAGTCCATATTAAAGATGTCAGCAGAGTAATTATGTTGGTATTCTCCCTCCCTTGATGAAGAGCAAGTCACTGGTGATGTACTCGCCAGATGACAGTCATGAGCCAACTACTGCTAACCAAGACTTAGTGTTGACGGCCAGCGAGACATGACAACACCACCACGTCTCTGTCATACGCCATTAACCCCAAACGTTAAGTGCAGTCATTGGAAACTTTGACCAGGAAAACTTTCTATTAATTAGTGATTGAGGAAGATTGATTTGCGCGGGAAAATCTAGCAACGATGGACGGTGTGTGGTAGCGGGTGGTGGTGGTGTGGTAGCGGGTGGTGGTGGTGTGGTAGCGGGTGGTGGTGGTGTGGTAGCGGGTGGTGGTGGTGTGGTAGCGGGTGGTGGTGGTGTGGTAGCGGGTGGTGGTGGTGTGGTAGCGGGTGGTGGTGGTGTGGTAGCGGGTGGTGGTGGTGTGGTAGCGGG